CTTGAACCCCAGTATTGCTCCCCCCATCTTGTCTGTCTGATTATATTTTTTTTGTTGTCCTATTAACCTGACTTGAACCCCAGTATTGCTCCCCACATCTTGTCTGTCTGATTTTTTTTTTTTTTTGTCTTTTTCGTTTTTATCGGTACCAGGGATCAAACTCACGACAGCCTGCTTGCAAGGCAGGCGCTTATGCCGCTGAGCTAAATCCCCAGCCCCGTTCTGTCTATTATATATTCTATTTTGTTTGATAGTATCAAGTTTGAGGGTATAGGCAATCACTTTGAAGGCAATAATATATACTGTGATGCCCAATATGGATTGACTATCATCCTTTTTTTTTTTTTTTTTTTTTTGAAGTCCTGTAAGGTCCTCAGTGTAGATTTCATTGGTTTTGTTCCATATTGTTTTGATCAATTCTATTATACCTGATAATATAGACAACTCAGTTTGAAAATAGTGAGAGGCACAATGGTAACCACTTTTGATCACCTGGTATTCTATTTTTGCATCACATGCTATGCCCACCCTTCTGTTCTAACTGCCTCTGTTTTGCTTAGTCACATTTTTTTATTCTCTTCAAAAAAGTAATAAGAACCAAGAGAGTAATAAAACCCTAAAAGTCTAATTGTTACTGTAAAAAAGAGAGGAAAGTAAGGTGGACTAAGGGATATAACCACAGGTATGTTCAAGAGTGTAGGACAGAAAAACCATATAACTGAGCTTTTGTTGGATCATTGAATGGATCTGTCTCCAATTCCACTGTATGAATGCTTACTTTATATGCTTTAATTTAGTGATATGGACAACTGTTTCTGGGAAGATAATGTGTAGCCTGTTAACTGGTGATTTCGTACTCTATATATTTTTTCTAGAAATACTGTACCCTTTTACTGCATTTTTAAATGTCCTTTCTTTTTTTTTCTCTTTAAATAAAAAAAAAAAGTGTACGTAACATACTTGCCATAAAGCAATTGCAAAGATCCAGTGCTTGAGGTTTTTTCAAGTGCATTGATTTTTATGACACTTTTAGAGATTTGGATATACTGAGCAAGAAAGATAAAAATTTGTTTTCTTACATTTCCTGTTGTTTTTAAAGCTGATTTTTAAAAATCATAGCTGTCTAGTAAAAGTAGATAACTTCCTGATATTTAATGGTTCATAGTTCATGTCAGCAAATTCTTAAATATGTATTTAATTCTTCATACTTCTTTTCATACTGTTTTAATGCAATATAGGTTATTTAGTGCACAGAAGTGCTCTTTCTTTGAAGCAAAAACAGACAACACCTGCTTTCTTCTCTCCCCTCTCATTTTTATACTACATGTAGTAATTATGTTTTGCTTTGTAACCGATAATGTTAATGTTAATAAGTACTTTGATATTCATTAAAATTAACATTAAGTTTCTTCCTTATGAAAAAATCAATAAAGATATAATAGATGACCTAATAACAATTTGTTAAATTAAATTCATTTTATTTATTTTACACCTTCGTGTTATTGCATAGATGGTGTCTGTGTCACTAGGTTCAGTGAAGACTCTACGAATAAATTACAGGAAAGTCACTTTCTTAATAATCGTATGAGTAAAGATGAATGCAACTAACTTTAATGAAATGTTGTCTGATGAGCCCATAAGAAGGAACCAAGTAAAATGGCAGCCTACTTACACAAAAAGATTTCTGGAGAGTTAATTCTCTGTATTACACCACTACACCCACTATGTGCCTTTTGGAAATCCCACCCAAAGTAAAGGGATATTTTCTGACCTCATTTGGCTTAAATATTCACTCTGATTCAAGTTCAGCCCTTTTTAAGTCCCAATTTAGTCAAGCAATATACACAGTAAAATACTTTTCAGTGTATCTGTTTACATTCTTCTGACTTAACTAGGCTAAATTTGGAGGTACATTTTCTAGATAACACAATTTCCAAGCACAAAGTACAGTACTAAAGCATCATTCTAGGAGGGTAAGCATTAATTACTGTCATAGTATGAATGATATCCTACAATCTTCAGTTACTTTACAGGCGGGCTTGTGACTTGGTCAAGCCCACTTTCCTTTAGATGCAGGCTCACTTGGAATGTTGGGTACCTGGTTCTTTTTATCAGCATTTCTCCTTTATTATAGTCAGGTGGTTTGTAATCTTCTGATGTAATGGTTATTGTTACTTAGTACACATCATTTTATAAACTGAGACTATTAATTTGGCTTTCTCTATCCATTTTATTTATCTATATCTTTTACACTTTAAAATATTACTTGACTTAAATAAGAATTGAAAAAATTATAGTTCCAAAATTGTGTTATTCTTTTGCTAATTTTTTACTAGGAACATTTTAATTGCATTTCAGAAAGGTGATTCTATAGTTTACAGGGTCTACACATTTGTTTTGGAACTTTTGACAACAGAACAAAGAACTCTTAAAGATATGGAGAAATAATTTCTTTTTGAAAGTGCTATATTGTGCTTTGGTGCTTGGAGTTTACCTAACCATCTGAGTCAATAAAAATTATATATATATATATATATATATATATATATATATATATTCCTACATCCTTTTCACTTGTTTATAAATAAAAGATAAATTTAAAAACTAAATAGAGATTAAACCCCCAAAATAAATGTTATATAGAATGGCATGAAAAAATTTCCACACAGTGCATTTTTTTCAGTGGTTGCATTTTTATGGGTCTGGCAATTTTGCTGATAACATCAATTACTTTCTTATGTCATATAGAGATTAGTACTCTCAGAGAATGATTCTGAATAGTAATTTTGTGATTTTAACTTTGCTATGGATAAAAAAGTACCAAGATGACAAAGGGCGCTAGAGTCCTGACTTAAAACTTTACATTGTCCTTGGAAGGAATCTTGCTGAATTTATACATGAATATTGTTTGGGATGAGGTCATGGAAGATAAATAACCCTGCATCCTGTGTCTAAGTATATGACCCTGTTACTTTACATGACAGATATTTACCATGTGTCTATTTTACCCCAAATTTATTTTTTAAGTAACAAAATGAATGGGGCAAAATCTGACTTTATTTCATGTATAAGCTGATATGCTTTCAAAATGAACAGACTAGGGTAACATTCTGGGCTAAAGTTAAAGATTCAGAGTAATTCTCTGTGATTTAGAAAACATGGCTAATGTTGTATTTAGCTGTGCAAATGAGGAAAGGGGGAGGGGAAACATGGTAATAAATGAAATACGTTTACATAGGGAAATTCTATTTTTTCTTATTAGAAAAGAAAAACATCCTAAGTGTACATTACACAGCTTCATTAATGATCCAGAATAAGACAGCAAACAGTCTGGTAATTTAAGTCTAAGTGACTCTAATTTAGGAGGAGGTGTGAATATCATCACCAAGGATGGAGAAGTGATGCTACACATGAGTAAAAATAGAAAAATCAAATGGAAGTCTGACAAGAAGCAGCCTACATCCAGCAGCCTGCATCCAAGAAGTGAACTTGTGCTCCTCAGAGAGGAGCTTTAAATTATTAACGCAGAGAAATTATTCCCAACAGCATATGTATGCAATACACACTGGAAAATGGAAATATTAAATGTTACCTATATCTGGTTATATTTATTTTATTTTCAGTGTCTTGACACTAAATTTAAATCAAATTATTACCCCAAATATACTATATAATCACTTAAAAATAATTGGAGAAGGAGGTCTTTATACTTCAAATGAGGCATTTAGAAAGATTTGATTTGTCTCCTCCTTATGAGAGAGATGAGTTAGCTTTTACCTTCCTATATGGACAGCATGTGGGTTTTTCTTCAGCTTCTCTATGCATGACTGTGGAATCTCTCTGCCCAGCTGTTTAACCTGAGAGAAAAATCTGGCTTTGACTCTGTTTAGAAAACACAGGACAACATGGTTTTAATTGCTCTCCTGTATACTACTCCAATCCTTTTTTATCCCTCATGACCCAGAGTACAGAGCAGCTGTCTCTACAGCTGTGAGCCGGTTCTGAAACAATTTTCCTGTGAGGCAGACTGAAGTCTTGCCAGAGGAATATAGAGAGAAGGTGGGGTGGGTTTGTTTGTCTATTTATTTGTTTATTTATTTATTTTTAGTTTTGCTTTATTTCTTTGCCAGATTCTTTCCTGTAAAAATTGAAGGAAAAAAACTATATTCATCATGAAATATTTACTTATTCACTAATATACACTTTATCCCTTTTTTTAAGAAAGAGAACATTTTGGATTTCTAAAACAAAAAGTAGACATTTAAACAAGTACTTGCTCTTTATGTTCTTTGAAATTTTAACTATAAAATTACATCTGTCTTGAAATACTGTGTTCATTCAATATAACCACAAGTGCTGCAAGTTAACTATTTTGACATCAGACAACCTGCTGCCCTCAGTAGCTAGAATGAAATTTATACCAAATGGTATTTGCTTTCACTTCTTCAATCTGACATCTATCCATTTACTCTTGCTCGAGCTCTTTTCATTCCTGTGAGTGGTTGTTCTAAACTCTTTGGAGCTCTCAAATGTTCTCTAATTCCTACAACTGTGGAGGATAACTTAAACCTACCATTATACAAAATTATAGAAAAATTAATGAAAGAAAAATCTGATTCAAAATGGACTAAGAGAGCACAATATCAACTGCATAATTCTGGAAATATTTAAACAGATGGAATTTTGTGTGAATGACATTTTCCTAAACAAGAAGATAATCCATTGGGAAGTCAACAGTCATTGACTTTACTGACCTGTATTATACATACTAGGATTGTTTATTACTGAACTGATTCTAATATAATGACATTCATCAATTGGATGGTAATTAGATGTCAAAAAGTAGCTAAAATACTTAGTACTCCAAGAAATATCATGATAATAATTCATTATCCATGTAATTATTTTTCTTGATGGATTTTGATGAATCCAACTATGTGGAGATTGAAAGTATACGCAGTTATGGTTAAAGCATTAATGTTTTTCCTGTGCTCTGTTAGATGTGTTGTAGAAGACAAGAACTCGAAGGTGGCCTGGTTGAACCGTTCTGGCATCATTTTCGCTGGACATGACAAGTGGTCCCTGGACCCCCGGGTTGAACTGGAAAAACGCCACTCTCTGGAATACAGCCTACGAATCCAGAAAGTGGATGTCTATGATGAGGGTTCCTACACATGCTCGGTTCAGACACAGCACGAGCCCAAGACCTCCCAAGTTTACTTGATCGTACAAGGTAAGAAACAGTGGTATAAGGGTATGCGAAGTTGAGAGATGGAGATGGAGGGTAATCATAATATAGGAAATACTTGCAAAATCCTTTCTGAAAAAGAAAGGTTTCAAAATACATTGTTGCCCGTAAGTATCTATTTTCTTTTTAGGATATAGACTTAAGAAGACTGTGTTGAGAGAGTACCCTTCCTATTATGAGCCAGTGCTTTGGTGAGAGTGTTATCTCCTAGCTCTTGAGTTTAAAAACAGGAAAACAAGAACAAAGTGATTAGAACCATAGGAATCTCACATTATAGAACCACAGGACAGCTTGCTGAATTTAAGAAACCTTGATTGGTCTTTTCCTAAAGAAAATCAATAATTATCTCTTTTTATGACAGAAAGTCTTTTGGAAAAGTAAAATTTCCAGAGGCAGAATGTCTTCTTGGCTGTCCAGAGTTCTATATAGTTTGTATCTTCAATTGATAAATAATATTACATTTAGCAAGTTTAGTTGGAAGGGTCTGTAAGTCGTTGAGGACAAAGTGTTTCTAGATGAGGGTTTCCCAAGATACATCTGAGTCATGGTTTTACAGAGTGGAAACTCTAAAACACATATACGTGCCCCCAAACTATCCCCTTCTGCATAGTTACAGAATGAAAACAAAGCTGATCAGCTGCACAGTGTTACTGCAAGCAAACTCAACCCAACAGCAGTTTCAGTCCAACTATCAGGAAAGATTAGACACTAACAAATATTAGGGCTGTGTTCATGTAGTCTTGATTTATAATTTTATGTAAATTTAATGCAAATTAAGCATGGCCCTAGGGCTCCTGTTGGGATTCTAGAGCAGTCAGTGGTGTGGCAAAGTTTGACTGTAGCTTCTATTAATGTGTTATGAAATAGATTATTGCCACATTTAAATTATTGCTCTCCCAGATCCTCTGGTTAATAGATTGAAACTGGAATAAAATACATCAGAGACCGCCTGGTGCCAGGGTGGTTTAGTCATGTGACCTCCATCTTGATATATTTGCAATGGCTGACAGCCTCATTTTATTTCTTATAAAGGGTGTGTTTACTGATTTGTAGAGCACCGGTCACAGTTATGGTATAAGGTGGTTTCATGACAGTTTAGTGGAGAATGTTTGAACTCCATAAGGAGAAATGTTAGTCTTTAGATCTCAGTTAACTGATTTAATATAAAAATATGAGTAGAAATACGATAATTTGTCAAGGAATTAACTTAGCACCTCATTTGAAACATGTACAAGTGCTCATTCACAATATGCATGCAACCACATGTGCATGTGCATGCACACACACACACACCTCCTTTGAAATGGAGAATGTCTACTTGATTCTATGGAATAAGGAAAAGTGGTAACTTGTTTAGTTAAGGCTTTTTAGAACAGATTTTACTTAATGACCAGTTATTGAGATTGTACTTCGTATTTTCTCCTTTGATTTTTATATGCTTTGTTCATATATTTCTCTGTAGTATATTTTACTTAAGAAACAAATCTGATTCATTATAAGAGTTCTATACAATCATAGTATCTTGAGTGCTTTTATTGTCATCAGAAGGTTCCTAGAGGCCACAGTAGATATTTTGTGTTGTTCTACAATAAATAAAGTGATATAATCTATTTCACTGCTAAGAAAAAAGATGAGAGAAAAGAAGATTGTTAAATTTACATAATTTGCTCAAGGTCGCACAAAAAGCTCAGGTATTAGTTGAGAGCTGAACAGACTTGGAATCATGCATGGAGCACTTTTTCTAGGAAAGAATTTTTTGTTTTGACTTTAAGGACTGCTTCAAAGGTTTGTGTTTAAGACTGAGTTCTTACCACCAAAGTCTATTTTTTTGTTTTCTTATTCATTTATATACTTTGAAACTACCAATCTGACCATTCCAAAAGGTAAGAATAGAACTCAGACCATGACAGTGTAACTGAAATTTAACTTAATATCATGAGATGGGAAAAAACAAGTGCCCACTCCTGTTAATTTATTGTTTAGTGTAATTCTAATATGTACAATATAGGTGTAAATAATTTTATTATATATATATATATATATATATATATATATATATATATATTCCAGATTAGACAATATAATAATTTTGCTAGGGATGCTTTTTAGTTTTAGGAAAGAGTTTCAAATTTCTGTCTGTCTAATTCAAAGTGTTACTATTTTCTTTTTAATCTTATTGCCTTCAAAGTAACAATGAGCCACATAGCCTGTATGCAGATGGGGGATGAAAAACAATTGCCTCTTCCTTGGATCTGAGTTATCCAAGGGTCTGCTGGATAACTGCATGCATCTGGACATTTTAACATAGGAAAGATACAATTCCCAACCTTACGAATGTCAATTGTCTCAAGTTCATGTTTCTCAGAATTGATGAATTCCAAAGGGCAAACACAGTTTAAAAAAAGAGAGTTTTACTGAAGAATAGGCATAGCTCCTGAGGGACAGGAGACATCCTGAGTAGATTTCCAGTGCAGTCATTTCTCTGAGACTGTTTTACAGGGCAAAATCACAACGTGGTTCAAAGTGGGTCAAACCACTTAGTGAACCAGTAAGATTCCACGTATAGCCACTTAGCTAATATTAATGCAGTAGAGAAGCAGAACAGGTGGGAAAGGCTTACAGGTGACATCATAACATTGGTTTATCTATGACTTCTAAAACAGAAATGTTTTTGGTGAAGGATGGGCCCAGGTAATCTAGTCACCTACCCAGGTAGACAAGAAAGTACAAATACAGTGTAATCTCAAATTTCCGTTCATCCCTTAGAAAAATATTTTAATCTTGAGGCCTTGCCTTATTCAGATGTGCTTCTAGCAAAGATTTTGAAGTATACACCTTTCACCGATGCCCTTGAGAGTCCAGTCCCTCTCTTACTGGATATTAATTGTTATCCAACTTATCTTCTTACAATGATTTGATTTCTTTCACCAGATGGTGAACCGCTTCCCCTATGACACCCAGCTTTGTGGGCGTCAGAGAGCCCGTCCCTTCATACTGTGCTCACTGAATTTTACTAAATGCTGCTCATCTATAGATTTTACCACACCAAGATTGTGCTTCTAGGCATGACTTGACTTCCCTCTTTTCCTAATTCATAGCACCTTCCTTCAGAATGTGAGGGCCTTTGGGATATTTTGTGTACTGCCTTGATCATGCTCCATGGTTTTTTTTGAAAATACATTTTGATATTCTCTCTCTCTCTCTTTCTCTCTCTCTCTCTCTCTCTCTATCTATCTATCTATCTCTCCCCCCTCCTTCTTTCACCACACAGGATTTTCCTACATAGTACAAGCTGGCTTTGAATTCATTATATAGCCCAGGCCTCTAACTCACAGTGATTGTCCCGCCTTTGACTCTCAAGTCCTTGGATTATAGGCATGTGACACCATATCCAAGTTTCTTAACAAATTATTTAATGAACACTCTAATATTTTCCATTAGCTAATAATGGTAAGGGCCCCCGTAGCTCCAGGTGCTATGAGAATTCCTAAAGAATAGTGCATAAGAAAGTGACCTTTATTGTCACACTGCCTGATTTCAATCTCCCTTTTCCTTCATCTAAATAAACTTTGGGGTAAACCACTTACTTTTTTTTAATGTTCAGCTTTATCATATGTGAGAGATAGATAGAAATTTAAAAACTTAAATCCTACTAAATTAATTATAAAGACTAAATATGATGATCACCTAACTTATGTCTAGAGATCATGTGTTCTCACTTCATGATGATAATGATGACGATGATGATGATGATGATCATACTACAATGACAACCTGCCGCAATGCTGTTGCAGCTCCAGTATTTTGTTAAGGCTCACTATCACGCTGGAGTGCTGCGCAGAGTAATCCAACTGCTGCTTTTACTCATAATCTCTCATTCCTTGCTATTAACTGAGTCAATTTTTGTTCTGGGTGTCTCCAACTGATTTTTTACCTGCTGTATTTTTGATATAATCTTTAGTTTTTTCCTTTGGACTCCAGAAAACTTCTTAGACTATTTTTTATTCACATTTATTAAAGATGTTTGAGTCAAAAATGCTTTTTGCATCACCCACACTTAGAGATTTTGTTAAATTTTATATGGTGGCTTCTCCCCCAGAATTTCTGATTCAGTGAATCTGGGTAGTGTCTGAATTTGCATTTCTAAGAAGTTCTAAGGTGATGTTAATACCATCGATTATCAGGACCACATTTTGAGATTCATTGTCCCAAAAGGATTTTGTACTTTAAAATTACATGAAGCAGTGATGCTGTATAATTTCACTCAATTTCTGATAGTGTTGCACATCCAAATATTCTGATAATTAATCTTACTGGGGATGAGACATAGAAGAGACAGAATGACAAATATCTTAAATTTAATGTCTTGGATTAGGCCCTTGAAGGGTGCTTAGCCCTGGAGAAAGGAAATCTAGAAAAAAAAAAAAAAAAGTAAAGCATCTCAACACTATAAATGTGCTGGTGCTTATAATAGCTCACATTTCTTTTGTATCCAACAGGAACGTATCACATTTGTGACTTTTCAACATCTTCTGTATTCTTTCTCTTAGTATGTTGGCTATTTTACACAGAAAACTTTTAGGTTTTATCAGTTCATGATGGTCATTATTCACAAACTATGCTACCCAAACATAAATATGAATGTGAGATACTTAATACATTGATGGGACCAGTATCCAAAACCAGATATTGGCTCCAAGGCTATTTTATAGAGTCCAAGGTAAAATATTAAGAAAATATCCCCCTTAGCCAGATGTGGTGGCACATGCTAATGATCTCAACACTCTGAGAGGCTGAGGCAGGAAGATCAAAAGTTAAAGCCTGTTTAGTACAATTTAGTTACTTGGCCTGACACGGTATAAAAATAAAGTAAATTGAAATAAAATGGGACAAGAAAAATGGACTCAACATGAAGGGCCTAGGTTCAATCCTCAGTAGTGCGACAACAGCAAATAATATTCATAGTGACAGTAATAGTAAAACCC